GAATTCAAATGAAATTAGAAGTCGCTGAACAGGGTGCAGTTATAGTGGGTACAGAAAAGAATCACCCCTTTTAAAAACATTGACATTTTGTTGTTTCACAGTCTGAAATGAAAACACACACCCACAATTTTTTTGCAGATTTTTCATACTGAATGCAGCTTACAACATACAAGTAAAAAATATCAACAGCTCTGAATAAAATTTAAAAAATGGAATAACTTGGTTTGGAAAAGGTTGATGATTTCAGCTAGATCAGAATAAAAGCATTCCTGTGCTTGGTAGTACAACTGAAAGCAAATGGTTTACTGTGGGTGAAAAAACACTTTCAAAAAACATCAAAGGTTCAAAGTGTTTATTTGTCATATGCACGGTTAGGAAACGCGTTTCCCTCTACAATGAAATTCTTACTTTGCCGTCCACATGAATGCCACAAAATATAAATGAAATATAAAGTAGATAAATAAGTAACAGAAAATCTAAGGCACTTTAAGCAGCAAATGCAGCAATATAATAAAAATATATAAGAATATAACAGAGAATGTATGCAGTCCTTGTGCAATTATGCATGTGCCAACTGAGAATGTAAACAGTACAGGTCGACAGTACATGACGTATTTCCTGGTAATAAAATCCTCAGCTGTTTAGGAGTCTGATGGCAGAGGGAAAGAAAGAGTTTTTCAGTCTAGTGGTCCTACATTTCACACTTCTGAACCTCCAGCCAGAGGGCAAAGAAGTGAACAGTCCGTGCCAGGGGTGGGTTGGATCTTTGAGGACGGAGGCAGCTTTCCTACGCACCCTGCGGTGGTAAATGCTCTGCAGAGAGGGCAGTGGAGTCCTAGTGATCTTCTCCACAGTTTTTACCACTCTCTGCAGGCGCTTGCGATCCATAGCAGTAGTGCTGCCATACCAGACAGTGATGCAGCTGGTCAAGATGCTCTCAATGATGTAGCTGTAGAAGTTGCAAAGGATCCTAGGCGACATGCCAAACCTCCTCAGCCTCCTCAGGAAGTACAGCCACTGTTGGGCCTTGTTGACCAGCTGTGTGGTGTTAAGTGTCCAAGTGAGGTCCTCACTGATGTGGATGCCCACTGAGAGCCCTTCCAG